TTAATCTGACTTGGTACTGTGTGACTTTTACCTTTCCGAAAGAATAGTTTGTAGATATACTATAGAAGCCATCCAAACGGTTTGAACTGACAACCATTCGCAACCGATAAAATTCCCATACTGAATCAACGACATTATTGGGAATAAAATATGTAGATCGTATTTGTTAAAAAAAAAAACTTTTTGTTGAAACGGAATTAGCACATATATATTACATATATAAATACTAAATTTTTTAGTTGTAATTAAACATGAAGATTATACGATCGATTTTAATAATATTTTTAATGCGAGAACAAAAATTGCTTAGTTAAGTTTCGATCTTAATTGTGGGGTACAATTAGTACAATAAATTTAACTTATTTTAGACTACGGTCATCAATTGGTAGATATGTTTATAAGACTACACATGAACATGAATGTTATTTTTTAAATATGCTAAATTTAAAGCAAAATTAAAACGTATATGAAATATAGTTGTAATAGTAATCACTATCGAAGTAATATCTCATATAACAGTCAAACTAAGGCGTTTCTTCTCAGTAGAACAGAGATGAATTACTGTAAGTATTATCTAGAACAGGAGCTTTAAAATCCGTCTATAATTAGAGAGGTGATTTTCTGCTCATTTATAGCATAAAATATCTACTATTGTCACAGAGCTCTGGTCCATTTGAAGCTAGAATCCCGCTTTTTCTATTCTATTTAAGAAGTATATATTTAAGACATAAAAAAGCGATTATGGAAATGCTATTATTATGTAAGTTTTACAATTAATTTAATTTTGACATTATATTAGCAACAAAATCAAATATGTTTTAGTTAATATTTCTATTTTGATAAAAGAATTAAAATCCAGTTATAAAAACTATACTTATATTTTTACAATGTTGATTAAATTTAAAAATGTATACCAGTAAAGTCCAATATCGTGAATCAGATCAAATGCTAAATGAATTGCCCTCTTTTTGTACAGAATGTGACAAAATGGTTATGTATTCAATTGGATCATTAATCATGTTTAGAAATAACTAGAAAAAACCAAACTTAAACGAAGTAGTTAAGTTATAAAAATATTGAACCAATTAATACTTTTCTAAACAATAAAAGATAAGACAATGAGTGTTACACATAAAATTATAGGTAAATATATACGTATACACTTTCACTTTATTGAAAATTTCGACATATTTCATTTTAATATGTACATTATATTGTACATATATCAATATATTTAATAAATGTACAATATCAAATCATATTCAAAGATATAATACACAAGTATGTATATCGAAATGTGTAAGCATATTCAATAACTGTCAATTACTAAACTGATTATTTTCTGATAATTGTATTTATATGCTGTTTATTTGTTTTATTTTTGTTTATTTATTATTTATGCCATATTTAGTATAATTATATTAGACAACAACAACACAATAACAGCAATTATACAAAATGTTTATTGGAATTATGTATTTTGTACATTTTATACTATTATACTTATCTAAATGTAGATATGACTAAAGGTCCATAAAGTTTTAGGGGAGCATTGCAATGAATAATAATTGTTATTTTTAGTGTATTTAACAATTAATACAATTAAGCAATCTAAAAAGTCTATTCAATCGAAATTATGGATTATTAAAAACATGTAGTATAAAATCGGAAATCTTCGAACAACTGGTTGACGGTAGCAAAGTGAGCGAAAGTAAGAAATAAAAAAGATCGCATACGTGATGAATGAATGAATTTCTTCAAAACGATAAAATGATACTGGAAGCGACATATATAGCCCAATATGAGGCTATATATGTTTTACTGCAATAAATAATGTACATTAATTTTATGCCATCATACTCTGTTAAAAACACATTCAAAATTTAATTAGTTGTTATTCAATTACTTGGATATATTTATTATACAGAATATTAAAAACCTATTTAACTAATTTTCCAAATCAATAATTAATTTAGTAGTCAATATTGTATAATTCACCTACACTTTGTTTACACAAGGCAACATCGTTGTTGTTGCAAATTTATTTTCGTATTGTAGTTGTATATTCCTTATTCCGTTTTATTTTTTATTGCTTCTTAACTCATTCAGCCTAACTAACTCAATTCAAAAGTCTATATTACGCAATGAATGAAAAGAATAATATAATTATAAGATAACAAATAATAAAAAATGTTAGCAACGGTTGTTGAATATAGCACTTATATCTTTATATCTCTTAATAAATTATTATACAAAATTTTTGTTCCAAAATGAAACCCCACTTGAATGATTGTACGTATATGCTCATCAATTCAACAACAAACGTTTACATTATTTAATTTTAGTTATCTTTTTGGTGGAATATTTGAAATTATTTATTTATAGAATTGGCGCGGATCGTATCTATGAGTACATTCATACTTTTATTTTTATTAGGTTTTAAACAATTTAATTATTTGTTTGCTTTTCTTGTTTTTATTGTGTCAGATTTTTCGACATTGATAGGCACGCATTTTTATTACACAAACGAAGCAGCACAATGTTCAAACAATCATCCGACCGTTTAACAAACTATCCGTCAATTCGACAAAATGTTCCCCAGTCTATCCGCCCATGCACATAAGACTATTACTTAAGTAAGCATAGGACAACAACAACATATAACATAAAAAAATTTAATAAACGAGCGTGCGTAGCTATTTATTTATTAAGATGGCGTCTGTCTGTTTGTTTCACTAATGGTAAATACGTCAATTTGACATTTTAACAGAGCATTTCGTGTTTAATGTTCATTTCTCATGTTCGTTTCTTCGCACTACTGTTACATTGTTGTATCTGTGTTGTTATTATTATAGTTGTTTTTGTTTGTGTCTTTTCTCATTTGATAAGCGGTTTTAAAATGGGGGTCATGACCGTTTAATAACTTTTATGAAGCAATTTTTTACTTTATTATATATTCGTTAATAAAAAAGTAATAAAAAATTTTAATGTGTGTGGCAAAAATTGTTGTATTTGATTTTAATTTCTTTTTTTTTTTAAATACGTAATTAATATTTAATTAGAAAAACTGTGAAATTATATATTAAACACATTTTATATTGATTACTAAAATTAAATATAAATACTGTAGTTAATTTTTCAATTTAAATTCAATTGATTTTAAAATAGCTTAATTATATAAACATTATATTTCCAATATTTATATATATTTATATACGTATATATATGCTTTCATTATATAGAATAACCAAATTTAAGTGTAACAAACTACACCAGTGTAAAAAACGCTAAAATGGTGCGTTATGTACATATGTGGTAGAAGTAATTAGGATAGTTAAAGCTGAAATTGAACGAAAACAGCTCCTCAGCTGAACATATCTAAAATAACTATGGATTCAACTCCAAAACGAGGTTAAAACTCAAGCTTACAAGTTCCAATGAGCAAAATATTTCACTGATATCAAAACAGAGGCTTAATAGAGTGAATTAGTTGTTTTCCGTGCGCACCAACGAATACAATTTCATCATATAGTCTTCTCATCACAGAGAACAATCCATAAACAAAACAAATTATCAAAATTTTTAAACAGAGAGATCGAAAGAAATTTAGACAAACAAACCGCGTTGCTTTACATCAATGTTTTATCACATAATGTCTATCATGAAAAAAATTTTAAAGCCCTCAGAAGTCCTAAAACATGTGACGCAATCAATAGAAAATTTTTATGACAAAGAGTACACGTTCGAATAAGATTCTAATCATACAGTGACTTACACAGACACCTCTCGGTGTGGGGTCAAACTTAGCACATAAATATACAGTATTAAATTATTTATGTGCTTAAAAACAGTCTTCATCGTGTATAGATCAAGATTTCATATGTTCAAATTTGTTCAGCTTTTGACCTATTTATCCACCAACCTGGTACCATACTTGGATTGGTAAAGACGGTTATATCAGAAATGTGTTCATAAAATTTGATTATATTTAATTTTTTCAAATATAAAAAATCATATAGTTCTTTTAAATTTAACTGATTTACATTCAGGACATCAGAATCAGAAAAGGACAGAGTGTTGTTTAATTAAAAGTAATGAAAAAAGTTATGAAAAAAGTTTTGATAAAATAATTACAAATATTTAAGTTAATAACTGGGACACAAAACATAGTATCACTATAAGGGCCATATTATGCAGTGTCGTGATGACGTCAAAGTTGAAATTGTTATTGTTTTCAATGTAAATTAAAAAATCAAGAATGAGAGAAACAGGGAAATTTCTATTTAAATTTGGTGACAGTGACCTCGTCACGTTGATCAAAATAAATGTCAGTTGCTCAGTAATAAATATGGAAATTTGCCCCTATTAGGACTAAATATATGTATTTCTATAAAAGCATGCCAATATTTTGAAGCTACAACCATATCATTAACAGTTCACAAATGTTGGGTTTCTCTTATCGACCTAGCTAGGCGTGTTAATGTCCAGCTTACGAAGGGCAGGATAGACGAATTTGCCAAGGCAGGAACTCTGCTCACCGACATTTATTTCTCATATATTGACATCCACTTGACGCGGCCAAGCTGGTAAAAGAAAAAAATCTGAGCATAGCTAAAATATCTGAGCTAAGTCACTGCGTACTAGGAATATTGTCTTTATCATGGTTGTGATTTTGCGGATGGGAAGGATTCTGTACTCTGGCAAAGCTGTTATCATGCAAAACTAGGTATTAAGCCAAGTCAGATTATTTTACTTTCACTTGAATGGTCAAGTAGTGCCTTTCAATATTGTGAGACCGCTGTCCTCTACTCTAAGTATGAACAAAGCCGCACTTCAATCAAACTTAACGTATTACATACTTAAATTATATACAATCACTTAATATATTGTGATTTCTAAAGATGTTTCACTTAATCGACAAAGTAAAGAAGTGATCTGATCACCCTAAGTTGATACAAACCTTAATTAATAATAAATACATTTACATATTGTTTTAATACCTGTTCGTTTTGTTTATCCTTAAGTATAAGATACGTTTTAAGTTTCTTATAATCCTTCCATGCATTAGTATCTTTTGATTTGTTAACAATATTATCTGAACACTTCGCCATTGGATGTGCACCATTTATAGCAATTGTAGACGTAACCGACACTTTCGAATTATCCGATTTTAAAGAAGTAACCACTCCATTATATTCAGACATTTTTAAAATATTATCTTTTTTACTTCAATATATAAATTCTCATTTTTCCTTTAACATATTTATATATGCATATAATAAACAATTATTTTTAATGTAAATTAACAGCAATTCATAATTATATTTATTTTAGAATATGTAATTGGCGAATAAATAAACGCTGAAAATTCATTTAGAATGCACTAATACTGCTCAATTTATATGCATATTA